ATATACACAATGTTAGACACGTTACAGGATGCGCCTTCGAGCATGTCGACTGCGAGCGAGCGTTTTTACGATGAAAACTCGGCGTAGATCTCGCGCTGCTCGTGTTATACTGCATGCGCTCAAAATCTTTGCTGCAACGCCGCCGCCGCCACTGCCACGAGGCTGTAAAATTGATCTTATTTTTACGTCGCGAAACTTGCATTTCGTGCAGAATACACACATACACAAATATACAATGTATAGCAAATCTGAGAGAAACGGTACATTTTGCTGCGCGCTGCAAAATTTTCATACATTTTCATGCACTCTCTCGTGTATAACATCTTCGATTCTCGTTCGAGGGTCAAGTTTTATTGGGTGCAGGCGGTGCTATATACGGTGCATGTATAAACATATTCGATAATTAACGATGCGGCAAGTCCGTCCGCGTGTTTATGTGTCTGTGTTATAACTTAAATACACTATTGCAACGGTGTGCGATCCTCTCCGTTATATTAACCATTCGAACGCGTGTATATATGCGCGCAATTACTCGGCGCAAAGTATGGCTCCATATAGACTCTCTCTAGCTGCTGCGGATGTGGACCTTTATAGAGACACAATACACAAACGATATGCACTCGTGCGCTGCACATACATACATGCACACACACACACACACAAGCACACTTGACAATGCGAGAAAGAGACAAGTTTATACTTATAATGCACAATCGGGGAGAGGGAGAGCGAGATTGAAAAAAACGTCATTGAATGCGCAATTAAACAACAACGTAATACTCGAATGGCATATACTATACGTATAAAACCATTAGTATATAAGAGTAAAGAAACAGAGGACCATATGAGAAACTACCTGACAAAGCCAGAACTTGATCACGCTTCGTAGATACTCTCGGTTGAAGGTGAAAAAAAGCTTTTGGATGCGCCAAACACGGGACTTGGCGTCGAGAGGGTGCCTCTCAAAACACGATACGAATCGTCTCGACGTCAACGTGCTAGACGTGCGTTACGTGTGTGATTTCTGTGCGCTATACGCGAGTGTATGTGCTGCTGCAAGAGCTCGAGCAATTACAAGGGCATTTACACCCAGGAGAAGCTGAAAAACTTCTCGAGTGTATATTGGAGTCGCGCAGCAGTCGTATAAACGCGCGCGTCTATTCAGCGCAAGAACCACCAACTGTCGCGTACGTCTCGCGAGGGCACTCGATCGAGAATCATGTATATGTACGCGACGCATGCATACCTACCCCACTCGTGGCAGAGAGAGAGAATATGATGGAGGGAACGACTTCGATCAATTTTAATTTTTCACGCCATTAATCTGTCGTATATATATATCGTACGAACAAACCAGTGTGTGCCACTCGAGTCGCGTACACGCAATATATACAATACACATATCAGACGTAATTAATGGTTAAAAAAACTTCTGGTACTACGTGGCTAAGTACATATTACACAGACGATTTATCGATTTTCGTACTGTTTTTTATCGCGCGAGTATGTGCACGCGAACAATGCGGCGCACCGTGCAGAACACGTGCAGCAGCAGCAGCGGCACACCAGCACCAGCAGCGCATTCTGCGCGCGCGTTCAAGCTCGAGAATTAATACGTATATATATCTAACGCATACGCACATATACGCACCGAGAGCCACTTTCTCTAACGCATTTATACACAGAACGTAAACGTAACGTAGATTGTTTGGATGCGACTATTTGGTATTTTCTACTTCGTCAAGTTCAAAGTGTTCCAAGTTTATATTATCCAAGGAACACATACGTAAAATCTAGGCGCTTGTAAACTTCGTATAGTTTCATTTTTACTTGGTTTATATAAACGAAGTGAACGAAGTAAAGAAGCCGAGAAGCCGAGAAGGAGAGAGAGTTGATAAACTTTCCTTGCCTGCTATATACGCACGTTTTGCAATTGACTTCTGTAACATGTGTGAACGTTTGTTTGTTTTCCACTCAAAAATGCCAATAGAAATGATGTTTTTTCAGCGACAAATAAAGCGTACGAGAGCAGCAACAGCAACAGCAGCAGCAGCTCTTGGTTCCCGTGGTTCTCTTTTTTTTCTTCTCTCCCTTTTTTTCTTTTTAAGCAAACTCTGTGCTATATGGCTCGAACGAACGAGCTCTGCTCGAGCAAGTGTACAAGCTCGAACGAGAAACATCGTGTCTAGTGCGCTCGTGACTCTTTGCCTCGAAATGAAAAACGGTACCAGGTCAACGCACCCGTTCTTTCTTTCTTTCTCGCGCTTGGGTGCTGTCTATATATATATAATGTAAGTTTCTCTCGCGCGCTTACATTCGAAAACAAAATCATTGTCGAAAATCATCTTTCCCTCGCGTTGATGTGCCTGCCTGCGTTGTGCGTATGTATGCTGTGTACTGTCAGAGAGCTGCTATATTATATTGTGGCACTTGTGGTTTTCGGGGGCCCCAGCCTCGCGCGAGAACTCTTTTATTTACACTTTTGCTCGATTTGCGTCAGTGGTGGTGGTAGTAGTTGTAGGATAACGATAATATAATATGTACAAACGTGCGAGCAGCAGAGAGTGAGAGAGAGAGTCGTTATCTCGAGTGGAATATAGCAGCTTCGAGCTACACGATGTGACTCTTTTTTTCTGATCGTGAAATAATAATATATATATATAATTTCTTTATTTCAGCCAATTATTAGGCCCAGAAATGGAAATAATAATATATATAATGTGGCCACCTTGACACCGTAAGGCAATCGTTTTATTTCCTCCTCTTCTCTCCAATCGCTCGAGCGCGTAGCTATACAACAGCAGCAACAGCGGCAGCGATCGTTCTATATAGCTGCTTCCGTTCGCAACGAATATAACGTGTATTATAGTACTATAGTAGCAAGGTACTGTACGTTGTAAAACGCGCCTGGATAAAAAGTACTGCGCCAGGTTATTCGAGGAAGGACAATCGCGCTCCGGTGCCAGAGGACGTTTTCGTCCTTTCGTTATATATGTTATATATACACACGTTCATAGCCGGCGTCGCAAATGTATGCGCGCAAAAAAATGTCTGCCAATTTTGCTCGCTATGTATACTCCTTTGCCTCTGAGCACACGACGACGACGACGACGACGCAAAGAGAAACGGGCCGCCTACTTCTCACAGTGTCGCGCGGCGCAGCAACACACAGAGCCTCGCCGTGTAGAGTGCACCCAGAGAGCTTATATATATAGATAGAATAGCCTTACTCTTGCGCTCTCCTGGCACAGGTATATAGGTATATATAATATGGCTCGAGTAGAGTCTGGCGCTGTCTGCGCGCACATTTAAGCGCGCGCGCGACTTATGGAAATGGCGAGGAGATGCATGTGCGATGGCGCAGTTGGCGTAGCAGCAGCAGCAGCAGAAGAAGAAAGGAGGCTAGCTTAGGCCTCAGAGCTAGATACACACAGCCTCGCAAAAGCCTAGGAGAATATCTATACGTGATACACTTTCCAGACATTTAAATCAGAGAGACAGACAGTGAGACTGAAAATTGGCTCAGTCCACCGGAGTTGGAGAACGTTTACATATACAACACAAGGAGAGAGAAAGAGAGAGAGAGACGATGGCGTCGGCGTCGGTGGAGGAAGAACTTGTTGCTTGCTGGTGCTGCTGCACGAGACTCCTTTTTTCATAGGCCATGATTTTGCTCTTTAATTTATGGATCGATCGTGTGCGTCCATAGTCTTTTTTTTCTTTCTCTCTCTTATTTCAAAGCAGTTCAGCTGTCTGCATATAAGCACTCGAAGATCCTCCTTCAATTCTTCACTCTCTCTCTTTCTTTCTTATACCCTTTTAACTTTTTCATTCATCCGTTCACACAAAACCACCGTGGCACCGACACACACACTCACACACCAAAGAAATCCATGCGCGCGTTGATTTCTCGCGACTTTTTTAATTTATGACGTTTGCTTCCACGCGTGTCTGCAGCCGGAGGCACAAACGATTTCGCGCAAAAATTCGCCAATTCCGAGCACGCAACATCGCACGTTATAAAGCTATATAGCAGAGAGCCGTTCGATCGAAAACGATTCAAAGTCTATCGTAGATAAGCCACACTACACAAACTCCGCAGCGGAATTAATTGCCGAAGAAATATTTCGATGCTTGATTTGGCATTCCTTGCGGCAACGGTTCGATTCGCACAATGGTTTTGGCGTTTTTCGGGAATCGATGATCCGGTCGCGCGAGTTAACAAGAAGCCACGTAAGAATTTAAATAAACTTTGGCTCTTGCCGCGCGCATTATATGAAAAGAGGGATCCCGCGCGCATAGCATTAACAACGAATAGGTATACATAAGGATAAAAAAAAGTCAGAATTACGTCAATGATCGCACACGTTGTTTCAACAAACACCGTATATCTAAAGAAAAATATTTTGGACCGATGCCTGCACACACACACTCGCAGCACGCCTGCTGTCGAGAGAATGTAAATATTTTCAAATATCGAGCAGATAATTAGCGAGGCGTCAGTGCAAATGACAAAAATTTCCGCGACGACATTAAGATTCCTTTAATCGCCCTCTCACTCTTCGCTAAAATGTTAGTAAACACACGCAGCACGGGTTGCTCCAATTTGACGCGCTTATCTATGCGCGAGCATAATAAATAAGAATTGCATCGATGCGGCATCAGGCTCATTGTTGTGTTTATATTCCGCACCAGACACGAGGAAGTTGTCATACTCGAAAAAGGCATATAAGTAAATTTAGATGCTTGTAATTCAAGACGAGTGAAGCGAGAGAGAAAAAGATGCCGCCACGCGAGGGAGAGCGAGCAAGCAAGAGCAAGTAAGAAAAAGAAAAGGGAGAGAAAAAGAGAGTAAGTATAGCTGGTCAGTTTGCGAGAGCACGTAAGTTTACGAAAAAAAAATACGGAGCAGCGATACAAGGGATATTGTAGGCGTGAGCGAACGCGCAGGAGGATTATATGTATACACAATACGTTAGTGTGTAGTCAGTTCGACTTACCTAGCGAAAGGTTGATCCTCGACCTCGTAGAGTTCCTCGAGGCTCTGCTTGGCCAGCAGCCTCTCGAGTCGCTCGGCCGTGGGAGCGAGGTGGCCCGGGATGCTGGTCGCTTCGAAAAGACCCTCGCCCGCCATCTCCTTGATGATGATTTTTCTCTCGCTTGTTGTCTAACAGCAAAACGAAGTTTCACACTTGTAATCCTTTCTTCCTTCGTGTTATGTTTTTTTTGTTTGTTTGTTCCACTGTCCGTTCTCTCTTAACTTTGGCGCGCACGGAAAAATACCAGCAAACTAGTACCAAGAGAGTACACCACTTTTTCGGATCTCTTTCATTTGCGAATAATACAACGATTTCTCAAAAAGATCACCGCGCGCACTGACAACAGCTGCAACAACTTGTGTGTGACTTATTATATATATCGAACAACAAACACTTCCGAGAGCACGTTTACATTTGCTCGCCCCTGCTGTATCTGAGAGCGGCAGCGGAGCAGCAACCTTCGGCAAGGGCACAGAGAGACACACACAGGAACGAGAAAAGAAATAGTTGTATGTAGGGAGTCAAAAGAGAGAAAAAAGAGAGAGAAATAGCGAGAGAGAAACGGAAATAATGTATCTACGCGCTTTCCACGTTCTAATACGTTTGGCCGTTGGAAGAGCGTCTGCAGCAGTACTGGCGGTAGTAGTAGCAGTGACAGTAGCAGTCCCCAGGTGGGCCTCGATTATCGGTGCAATGCAACAACTGCATTATCGTTGCCAGACTCGGTCGGCGTTAATGTTTCGTCGAGGTTTGAGCGTCGTCGAAACAACTCGAGAAACACGATGTGCTCCGATTTTGCAGCGCGACAAAACGATCTCGCAGCGAAATCGTAACGGCTCGGCGGCGTACACACGTTATACATGCACTATATTTGAAACGATATGGTTGGTATTATAGGAGAAGAAGAAGAAGACCGTGTCACGGCGAGCAGCGATGCGGCTTTCTCGGCTACGTGAGACTGACTGAGCGTTAAAGGCAACCCGGCACTCGCGACAGCGGTTGCGGCGGCGACGGCGGCTCTATACGGCAGTAGGCAGTTCGCGTGCCATCCACACACAGTACGGAGCGAATATCGCCAACCGCCGCCGGTTCGGAGAGAAAGAGAGGAAGAGAGACGGAGATAGAAGCAGCCAGCGAGTGGGGAGAGCTCGGCAAGACTCTCCACTTTGCTCAGCCAATGTATATTATAGGCACATATACAGTCTTTGCGCGCCTGGCTGTATACCTATGCTGCAAATATACTCAAAGTCCCCAGGTCCCCACTACCATCGTCACGGCATACAGTAGGTATAATACAATTTCTGCAGCAGCAGCAGCAACAGCTCGAGCTCTACACACGTATGCGTGCGTATGTGTGTGTATGTGCGAGTATGCACTATGTGTAAGTATATATCGCAGGGAACACACGCCGTGTCTTTGTGCACTGCTGCTGCTGCTGCTGCGGAGTCCGGAGAGCGAGCTGAATTTTGCACTGCACGATCCGCACGATGTTCTTTCTATATTACGTGTGTATAGGTAAGCAAGCGAGAGTGCATACACACGCGTATGTATAAGTGTGTACGAGCCTTTGTGCAGCTCTCTAGCACACATATACCGAGCTAAATCGGTAGCGATACGTATTACTAGCGATCGACGCGCAACTTTTTTTTCAGCGCACCGCGCTGATAAGAGCGATTCGTCGCGAGGCGAGAATTACCCGCGCGCACTGCGCAATCGGTTCGTTCTCTCCCTCTCTTACACCTTACTCCGAAAAAAAAATTGTTTCTTATCATTCGCAAGAATTGAACGTATGAGCGGATAAACCGAGCTTGGCGAGTTGCTGCTGCTGCTTCTGCTGTTTATTATTATTGTCCCGTCAGTTTCGACGAGCCCAAAAACGGACGATATTAGCCGAGAGAGAGATTATATCAGCGCGCATAATAATAAACGCGTTATATTATAATCATACGTGGCCCGGGTATAAGAGAAGTGATTCATTTCTTCCAGTGATTATGACACGGTTTTGTTTTCTTTTTTATTCGTTCCCTTCTCTCGCTCGTTCGAATTCGCTTCCTAAAATAGAGTTACATTTTGATGAAAATTGCAGCAGCCGCAGCAGCAGCTCGACGTTTCGCGAAATATATCGCCCGATAAGATAAAGCTTGCCGATTTCTCATATACCTGATCGAAAGGTAAACATAATATATGAAGCCAGCCGCGCGACTCCGTCGAATGTCAAAGATGCTAGCGCGCGATGCACAACAACGCGCGAGCGACTCACGCGTTTAACATATTTTTATTTTATTATTATTGCTGCTGCTGCAAAATTAGGAAATATTGCGGAATTCGCGGGAACAACAAAGTAAAAACACACCGAATCGTAATAAACAAAACTGTTTTGTGCGATGCAAGATTGATTTCGCCGGAGCACTTAGTAATTGGAATGGGAATTATGCACGCGATCGCCAAGTCGCGATTATTTATTTATTGTATGAACGAGTATAAGTCAGGGACCCGCCCCCGCACTACCTAAATGGATTCGTCACCTGCTTCGAAATCGTTCTGGAAAGAAACGGCCAACGAGGTTGTATGTAGAAAAGATATTGAATGTGCGCGCGTATACATATCGGAGCGACCCTTTCTGTTGGCTGGCAACTACTATACTACTACTAGCATATTACGCTCATACGCCCTCGCGCGCCAGCAGCAGCTGGTCAAACACGAGCGATAAAACGCGCGCTCCCGCGTGTACAATATCGTATAAAGCACGAAGGTAGCTTTCGTACTTTTAGCGATTATGTGCGTGTATGTTTAGTGTGCGCAAACACACGGCACCATAGAACTGCTGCTGATGCTATGAGACAGAGATGTCCACTTGTGTAAAATAAAATTCAATTCTCCAAAAGCGATGAGCTTTCTATATGTGCTGTGCAAAACATCACCGACCAGCGCAGGAGAGTATAAGGTCGCGTTAAACAAATGCGATCCGCAGCACGTGGCATTGACATTGTAATCAGAGAGCGGCGAAGGAAACGCGTTCTCGATCATCTCTCTCGCTCTTTTTGCTCTCCGCACATATACATTATAATAAGTACGACGAAGAGGTGAAATTATTAAATGTGATGATGCTCTCATCGACTTTTGTGGCCGCGACGCAGCACGTACACAGACGCATAGTGTGCAGGATGAGATATATATAATATTCCACTACAAAGCTGCTCCTGTTTTGCGCAGTCCGCATCTGCTCGCATGCGAAACGTAATATACTGCAGTAGCACGAGTCGCATGAGGAGACGTCGACTATATAATATATATGGTATTATACTCGCGCGATAAGTCGGCGCGCAACCACCAAAGTACGTGTGCGAGCGTCAGATGGAATTGTTTTTCTCCAGCAGCAGTAGCAGGAGCAGCAGCTCCAGCTCGATTGCGCGCAATATATAGTTTGTTCCGTGCACCCGCGAGCAGCACACGATTCGAAGCCGGTGCATTCGGAAATTCCGCGGGAAATCAAGTTTTCTTTGCAGATGAGATAGACGATAAAAAACATCTAAAAGAAGAAGAATATAACGTTTGGTTTGTCGATCATCTCCCGACTATATATTTCAGGTTCGACGCGCGCTGCTTCCATTTGCACCACCTGCTCTTGCCAATCCTCGAAAAAAATCAGCTGTAGCGCCGGCTGCACGAAGCGAGCGAGCGAAAGCAAGAATATCATTAGGGATTCGTTCATTTTCTTGACGCCGCAGGCGAACCATCTAAACGCGCGCGCAGACAGTCGAATGCTATTTCCCGTTGATAGACGGCCTCATTTTGACGTCTAGAAAAATACGGGGAGGGACAGAGAGAAAAAGGTACTCGAAAGAAATCGAAATTTTTCCCCTTGCGGTCGATCGTAGAGCATATAGGTACGCGCGGATCGATCGTTCGAGTATTATTATTATTACGTGCGCGCGAACTCGTCTACACGTATACTATATACGTACCTACGAGAGCTCCGAAGTGAGCAGACCGTGGCAATTGATCCATAATATGGTTGGATATTATTGTAAGTTGATTGCGAGTACATGCTGTATAATATAATGTAATACATTGAAGAGATACAGCGAAGGAGATCCGCGCTGGCGCCAGTCCGCGTATTATCGCGTATGGCCATTTGAAAAGTAAAAACGTCCAGCGTTCCGCATAAGTGTTGGATGTAACTCATTGAGTTGTGAAAAATCCGAACAAATTGATTCGAAGAAGAATCTGCCACGGCCCGTAATAACACTTATAAAGAACGTAATAACTTGCAAAAATTTTCCTGATTCACGCCGTGGTCATTTCTGTCTAGAGCTAGCTCGAAATTTGACTTTCAACTTATAGCTGAAAAAAAAATATGCTGGTTTTATTATTTGCTTTAAAATCGAAGTATGAAATAACCAATTTTAAAATTCTGTTCAATCTACAACAAACGCCACGACTGAAGACTACGTCCAATCAGAATCCTGAGGTACTACTTACACAAAACTAATCATGATTTTTATGAAGAGAGAAGGATGTTCGGAGCAAATAGCTGCGAGTCGGATGTAATTAATGTAAAAGTAGAGTGAGTCTATATTAACATGCAAGACAATTTGCAAATATTTGAAAACTGTGATTGGACTTATACGAATATTTTACTATAACACTTGCAGATTTGAAGAAATAGATATTCGCCATCTAGTGGTGGAATCTGGCATTAATTATGATTGAATTTTCATCAGTTTTTCATTACAACCTTTTCATAAAATGTGTACGATTAAATCTTCCTGAATTTTTTCGAGGTTTATGTAAAAAAATTATTCATAACTTTTAGATTAATTTTTAACAAAGATTTCATGATAAAATCCGTTAAATGAAATTCAATGTCGTTTTATTTCAATTTAACGTTTGATTTTATGTAATAAAGCGTCACAGGACTGTATCGGCATTTTTGCGCGTGTCCCGCGATAATGAATTCAAGCAAGGATGCGATAAAATTACGTGTACTCATAATCTGTTCGCGAAGGCAGCAACAAGGCTTATACAGCAACAGCAGCGTAGCAAGTCTAGCGATGAAAAATATGCACCTAGAATTGACCAGTTGAGCATATTTGTTGTTCGCCTAGTCTGTCGGGCGTCACCAGGCGTGCGCGCTGCCCGGCTAGGAGAAATCCGCCGCGCAGTGTGTCTCTCTCGAGCTGTGCGCATAGCAGGGCACATATCGAGTTCTATCTCAAATCTGCAACAGGTGGTCATATACACACACACATATATATTCAGGCGGGCTTGTGTAGCTCCTGTGTGCACAGCTATACACGTTTATATATGGAGTATAAGCGCGAGCCGCATAATATAAGAAAGCTCGAGCGAGCAAGACATTTTGTCTCAACCACCTGACACGTCTTAACGTCCCTCGGCTGCGACTGCTGCTGTTACTGCCTCTCTTTCTCTCTTTCTCGCTTTTATCGAATCGTTATGTTACACGCGCGTATACAATTTTATAAATACCAAAAGTTGTATCCAGTCGGGCGCCCGATACATAAATGTTGTGCAGTGTACGTATTGTAGCTCTAACAGCCTGCGCGTGTCACCCGTCACCCGTGCGTGCGTCTAAATCTTAACGCCCAAATAACTCGAGCAGCGTGTATATACGTATTTAGAGCTGCGGAAGGTCTAGGAAAAAAAGTTCTTATTATGTATACACTGGTGTGGCGCGAGAGAGGCCATTGCTCGCGCCGATCGTTGCAGCTGTCCTCTGTACGTATACGTATGGTAAGGGAGATATTTTTGAAGGGAACGAACGTGCACCAAAACGCAAGTTTGCAGACTCGACGGGCATGCAGCAGTGATAATATTCATACGATCAGTGAAGAAAATAAAAATTTAAGCTGAAATTAATCAAATGAAAATATAATCTGAACGGCGTTTCGCCACTTGCGATTACGCGAATCTTAGCGTATACGCCCTCTTGTGACGAATAGGTTTGACTTGATCCTATACAATTTCTTAAAATAACGAAGGGGTTAAAACACACAAAGTTAATGTACAATTGTAAAGCTTATGTAAATGAACCCTAATTTTGAAAAATATACTTCAAGATCTATCAAATTTTTTTATCTATCCTGAAAAATTCTGATAATTTTTATAACTGGTTTTTTGAATTATTAAATATTACACATTATATGTATTAACTAAAACATATAATAGCAATATTTGAAGAGTCTGAAAAATCTTAGATTCAAGGTTTTTTAGATTATTATTATTATTATTAGGTATCTTTGTGTTCATGAACGAGAGTTTAATTTGCGCTCTCGATGTCAGATGGCATCGGGTTTCGAAAACGACTCCTGCAAGTAAGTTAGTCGAGTTAAGAAAATTAAGAGTTAAGATGCGTACAGGCACAGCCATAATAAGTGGCTCGACGGTCCGAGGAAAACAGGGCCATGCGCGCATTCACGCAAATAAAGCCATGCGTACTCGCTGCTGACGCGGAACTTTCGTTGAAAATCATCGTCATCCGCGAATGCGTTTCGTTATGCAATTTAACACGTGGTCAATAAACAGGCGAAAAACATTAGCACCGCCGAGCGCGCGCGCGCTGCGAGCCGCGACGCGACGCAGTACAGTCATAAAAATGATCACGTAATTCGCATTGCTTCAATGACACTTTAATGGAAAAATATCACTAGCTTATGAAAAGTCAATTAAACTAGATATAATGTAGCTACACACGAAATGCAATGTACATGTATGTACGCGCGTCTACGTACATATAGCAGTACACATATACACGCTGGAGCACAGGTGTACTGCATCAAAGCCTCGGATAATTGACACTCGAGCGCAAGTGCGCGCCGCGGAGAGTAATAACGATTTGCTTTACGAGCTAATAAATACTATTGTACGCGTGTCGGAGCTTTTAAAATATCTCAAGCGCTGCACATCGATTCCTGTGGCCATGTAGCCGAGGCATTCTAAACGCGAGTTTCCAAGGTAGTGGCCTGGTGTGAGCTTGTAGTTTTCGTATACACATTTTGCAGGCTAAGCTGCAAAATGGAGATTGCAGTTTTCTTGAAAAACTTTTACGATATCGAATATTTCTCTATCGCCTGCTTGGCGTCATTATACGTACAACATCGCGGGGGAAGTAATGCTGCGCGGCGCGCGATATGTACAGGTTGCATAAGAAGCCTGTAACTATACGTGCAGCCGTGCGCAGGAATGCAATTTTCCTCGCGCGCAAAAATGAATCAGAATATGCTGCTGCGGCTCGTAGTAGCGCATTTGATACTTTCCTTGGCGTTGGCGCGAGTGGAGGAGGCTTCGACGACGACAAGAAGTCGCGCAGCGTTGATAAGGAACTTTTGGGTATTCCGTTAAAGCATTCATTAAAATAAAATGCCAAGAATGTGTGTGTGCGCGCGCGAGTCCGAACGGGTCTCCCCAATTGATGGTCGATCGTTTGTGTGAGCGAGCGCAGCCAAGAATAACAGCCAAAGGTCGAGGACGAGGCTTCATTTGACAGTACCGAGTATAAGCGAAAAGTTTCGAAGAACAATAAAATGTGCAATTTAGTCGTTTTTCGAGTCGTTTTAACGTTTCGAGGCGCAGAGATCGCTCGCGAGCCGCGCTGCTGCCGCCGCAGATTGGCTGCGCACTAAAGTTAATTAAAAAGCTACATACGCTACAGAACTGCGCGCTCGTCAACATGAATTATGCGCATATATAGACTGCGCTGCACATATAAAAGAGACGTCGTACTGTCTTAAAAGCTGCGAGCAACATGCACAAACACAAACACGCGCAGCACACACACGTTGTCAGTTCATACGTCATAGAAGAAGAGGAGAAAAAAGTCGAGAAAAAAATACGAGTAGCCGAGCGCGAAAAAAGTGAAAGAGCATATAATAAGTGTAAGAGCGCACGAGCGCGCGCGCATAGACCTAGACTCTATGAGCCTCGGGACGTTACACAGAGCTTCTACGGACGTGCAAAGAGCGAGGGAATCGGAGCAGCCTACATATACACTTTTCTTCGCATCGCGCATTGCACCGAGAAGCGCGCGTAGTAGTATAAGGTATACCCTACCTACTCCACTGCTCGAGCTACACAAACTACCATAGAGCAGCAGAGCATCGCCGCAGCGTAACGAGCAATTAAAATATTTAAATGATATATACGACCTGAGAGATATGGCTCGGCTTTTGCTCTTCGTGCATAGACACATTTCGTGCGCACGCATATAAATATACATAATCCACGCGCGCGCGCGCGCGCGCGTACCTATATACTTTTCAAGGAAAAAAAGACGTGCTCCGCGTGGCGGCATGCAGCGCATTATATACCTAGCCGCGTGCGCGTCGACGAGCTGCTGCTGCTGCTGCTGCTGCGATCGCTTGTGTAGCGAGTAAAAGTACACAAAAACTTGTGTGCTCTAGCATGCTCGCCTCGTGTATGGTATTATATTGTGCGAGAATGAACCTACGACGTCGAAAGCCAGAGTAGCGCGTATAGACCGAGGCGAGATGCGTTTTTCAGCGCACGAGCTGCAGCAGTGCATCTCATTCGATTTTCTCACCGTCTAAAGTTGTGCGCGCCTCGTGTACCTTCGTTTCAAAACATTTAGTCAAACTTTTACCTAGATTTTAGCGTGTATACATTATCTTGCCACGCGGTCTTTTCCACGCTATCGTGGCGATTTCGCGCGCGTTGCCAGAAAGCTGCGATGGCGAATCACTGCGCCTCTTATTATTTAGGACATTATAAGCTGCAGTCGCACCTTACACGTCCTACCACTCGTGTGTCTATTTGATGCACGAGTTAAAGCGAGGGCACGAGTTTTCACACGAAGACTCGACTTTTGTTGGTACATTTTTTGCGCACCGGAGATGTGTGTACACGCGTGTGGCGCAGCAGTAGTGGTCAAAAAAAGCCGCAGACAGAGCAAACTCGGAGTCAAACAACGTTCGAGTTCGCGTGCTTCGTGCACGCGCTCGTACCTATATATGCATGCGCGCATTTTTTACCGTTGAACGAGAAAAAAATGTGCCCTCGCGCGCTCCAAAGAGACAGGAAATCCTGCGAATTCGCAACGGCCAAAACAGGGCCACCTCGTGTTTCCGATAATGTCGAGCTCGCGACGCTACGATAAGTGTGAAAAAAAGCCCCAAGAATTTCGTGCCGAGGCAAAGACGTCACCCGTTTGTTTGACTTGCGGAGCAAACACAGCCCCAGACCGTTGCTGCTGCACTCGAGATCGGGTTAGATGGACGAGTAGCGATTGTGTAAAGAGCAAGAAAAAAAGGGACGAAACGATACAAAAATTGGAAAATTTTTTTCATTCTATATATTGCACGGAGAGATCTCGCTATTACATGCACGCGCGCGTACGGCACACACACGCGGTATTTCACGCGCCGATGCTGCGTCGCGAGTATTACCCATAGCCCATGGGTGAAGCGAGCCCATATAATGGGTAGTTGGTATAATACGTATAGAGTATAGGCTAGTTGCAGTTGCGGCTAAGTGCACTAAGCAGCATATATATAGGAAGGTACTGCGCGATCGCTGGGTACATAGTCGCGCGCGCACGGCACAGCACACACACACACACACACAGCACACGAGCTGAGCGCGCGCGCGGTAAAGAGGAAGATTCTCCGTATGCATAGCTTTGATGCGACGGCACTAAAACACGTAATGCAACCCCAAGAGAGGAGAGAGCGAGAGAGAGAGAGAGAGATAGACATTCGCGAGATTTTCCTCTTCTCTGCATTCCTTTACTTATATGTATCCTAGGCTGCGCCGAGCTCTGCGCTATAGCTAGAGATCTGCTGCAGCTAGCTAGCTAGCTAGCTAGCCAGCTCTCCGTATCTCTGCACCGTATGTGTGTGTAGAGGTATATATAGACGTGTTTGTATGAAAAAAAATTTGCGGCCGCACGCATATCGTGGCGCATCGATGCGTGCTTGAATACAGATCGTGACCGAAGATCACTCGGGTCTTTCTTTTCTTTTTTTTTTATTCATCTATTTTGCGCTCGGCGAGAAAAATTATATTCGTAGCACGACAGCTCGTCAGTATTATACACGCCGCCGCTGCCGCTGTTGCTGAGAACCGCACTCATTGGTGTCTGAATAAATTTCAAACTTTTACAGCCCGTCGAATAACTTTATAGATTCTTTGAACGCGCGGCAGCAGCAGCAGCAGCAGCTATACGACGAGGTACTTAGTTGGAAAAAGTATGCCGATCCTCCATTCGGCGCATTTAGCGATCACCTCGAGAACAGCGGGGAGCAAAGAAAGTTCGCGCGCGTGCTGCTGCCTTTTTATCGTTATACACTCTCGTTCTTACAACAATGCCAGCTCGTCCACGAAATCCACCTTATATTTATATGCATCGAGTATGTTATTAAAGTTTGTCGTTCGCCGAGCGCGGCGGCGCCTTGTTCAAATAGCTCGTGAAAATTTTAAATGCCTTTAAAAAACACAGCGTCCATTTCGACGATTCGTCCATGCAGAACCAATGACGCGCGTACGATATATTATATTATATGTAGAAGCTCGACCATAAAAACAGAGAACAGAGAGGCATATACATGCGGCAAAGTGGCGGCGGCGGCTACGGCACTGCTCGCACGCTTGTGTCCTACTAATTGAGCGCAGAATATCTTCGTGTACGGATCTTATTGAGTTATCATAACCCACATAATCGTCACGATTAGACTGCGAATTTACGAGCTGAAACTTCATTGTTGCCGGACTCGAGGAACATTTATTGCGACGTTACTGTACACTCGGTTATAATTAATGGACGCAGACGCAGACCGACAAATCGTAAACTTGCAAATGTGCCGTTTATTAATTAATTGTCAAATTGAAGATATTCGGCCAATGCTCACATGCTCGCGAAGTTATTGTTGACTTTGGACTCGACGCTTATTTTCTTCCTATGGAATAATATAGCTGGCAAAAAGCTCTTGAGTCATTCTCAGTTCGCTCACTCGAGCTCTCCACGATCTTTGAAGTTTGAAGTTTGAAATTCCATGGAAGATTTGAATACTAGGTTAGCTGACGTTGGATTGTTTGACACCCGGTTAATTTCTCACACGCTTGAAGCAAGCGAAAGTCGTTTGATTGTCCAGATTTAGTTACTTCATATTTACTTCAGAAAATTAGGACGATATCCAAGTCTGAAAAAACAAAATCCATCTTACTGTCGAGCCTTTTTAAGTGTAAAGGTAAACAATATGGTATTTGATGCACAAGCGTATACTGTTAAAATAATTTGAAATTTAATGTAGATTTTAATGTAAAAACCAGAAATTGAAGATGAAGTAACCTATATTGAATTTTATTTACTGTACATTTTTTATGAATTTTTCATTGAATATTAATAATGTATAAGTAATGTAATGTATAAGTGCTGATTTTTTAATTTCAGACAAGAGTAATATAGATTTTAAAATAAAATGAAAATTTAATACAAAAGTGAACTGAAAAAACTTAATTTTATACTCAAATTTATGTATTTTAATTGAAAATTAACGCTTAAATAGAGATTTGTTTTCTGTATTAATTTTTCAAATAATATAAAAAAAATTTAAAAATATTAATCCCAACCTCCACCACTAGATGGCGAGTACTTTTAATGGTAAATGTGCAAGTGGCAGAATGAAAAAAATTGTATAAGTATGCAATTTGATGTATAAATTTAGTTATAAATTTACGAATAAAATTTACTAATAAATTTATTTACTAATAAATTTATTTACTAATAAATTTATTTGCAAAATTGTAAGTTAGGTATTTTCATTGAAAATTAACGTTTTAATAGAGATTTATTTTTTGTGTTAGTTTCTCAAAAAATGTCCCATAGGAAAAAATCGCAAAATTCCTACGGGGTATAAAAATCGAAAAAAGGTAGTCATACATTCTCATTTCAATTTTCTCATTCATTGTCTGAAAAGTTACATTTTCGTATGATAATATTGATTTCATATTCGTGCGTGCAGCATTACCTGTACGTGCCGATTGCTCCGGCATCGATCTAGTTTTCCAAAAATCAGTTCGGTCCCAGTCTCCGCGACGTGGGAACGCTAGATTTTCGTCATATTATTTTTTTTTCACACCCTGCCCAGTCGAGCCAAACGCGTCGGAGCCGCCTGAATCTTTGAGCCGAGCGACCAAATGGTTCTAGGAATCGAGTTGCCCGGGCGCGCGCATGGACTTTTGAACTCGCACGCACCAGACGTGCATTAAGGTGTGGGTATACAGTGCAGGCTATTGTGTGCTCGACTATTATAAACACATGCGCGTACGACGAGACCCACCATCGAGCGTCCAACCTGTTTAGCTGCTTAGTTCAACGATTGATGCGTTGCGCGTGCTCTATTACATGTGTACGCGCACACACGAGAGATACTCATTCCATTATGGATATCGCACCATTTGTCTCGACACCGACTTCATCTCGCTTCGACCGATGTGTATTTGCTCCCTTACTTACTATTGGTCCCTCGTGTATTTTCAATAAATTATTTTTACCCTAACAATTTTTGAGCTCGAGCTGAAACTCGAGTTGAATGGGGGGACATTTATATCGATCGATAAGATGATGGAGTGAATAACATTGTTTTGTTTTATTGATTATACCATTGTATCAATAAAAGTGACCAGAAATTTAAATATAAAATGACTATGGGAATTGGTGCCACATTTAAATACGAGCCCATGATTTATCAAAACAACTTGAAAAATGTATTTGTGTATTTTTTTAGGGCTGATCTGTGCGGTTACAAAATATAGCTCTATTTTTTGGTTTTTAAAGTTGTTTTTATTTTCTTCAATAAAATCAGCAATAGAAAATAATCAGACCACACATGTGTTAATATCATTCATTAATTTAGGCCCCCTTGGACGCTGTAAATCAACATTGACCTGAATTACTTCACAATAGAATCTTTGATATTTGCATCAGACCGTACTTCGATTGTATAAAGTTTTTAAAATATTTTAATCGAATTTTTGATTTGAGAACGTGTTTGCACCGTAAAGTTCTCGGTATTTTTTCATATTTTCAACAATACTGAGGCAATGCGGTGTACACGTGCGCACTTATTTTTTTTATAATTTCATTGATCATTGGATGGTTTTACGCAACGAAGATAACCATTTCAAAGCTTTAAATTAAAATTAATAAATTGCAGACGAAAAATGAAATCAATTCAAGCATTAATATTGAGGTATTTCTTTACAGGTAAAATCGAAATTTTTGTAGTTTAGTTTTCTATATAGACAAAGAATTCAAAGGAAAATAACCAGAGAAAAATGTGTTGTTGTTATGTTGAAAATTTTCGGGTTGTGTCGTGAAACTGATAATCTCTTTCAGAGACACGGCGCGTTTACGCAAATGCACTTTTCGATAAGCCGATAATCGCCGTGTTAGATTAGCCGTTTTTTTTTCATTCCTTCTAATTACATAAGGCCGACGTTCATAGAGATAATTCTATAGCTTAGGCGATTATTATAGGAAAATGAGCGGCTTTCGGCGCGATTGATAATGAATTTAAATAATTATCTATGTGTTTCATCAATGCGCTTGTCTTATCACTCTTTCTCTCGCTCGTGCTCGCGCTAACAAGCCTTTGAACTGTTTTTACGCCAGCACGACTTTTGCGCCGCGTGCGCATGTATATGTAATTAAAATACGATAAATATTAATGTGGGAATTGCGTAATATTGTCGAGCTCTGCGTATAGTTCGCGCGCGACGAGTAACGTTGTACATGTGCACGCAGCAACTATTGGCATAGGATAATTCACGCGCTTTGGGACGTCGAAGTGTGCCGATTCTATGCGATATGCATAATATGCCATAGTGAAACGTATGGTCGCACACGCATACGTGTTTTTGTGCTTTATTTTTTTTTACTTTTTTTTTAATACACCGGCTCGAGCCCTCCTTTTTTATGTTTTCTCTTCTCGCGTATACACACTTATCACTCCTACAATGCATTATAATACGCGTAAATTACATTCAAATGTACGTAATAAGGGAGCCTTTCACTTTTCCCCCGAATTACGCGCGCGCTCGCGCACGGTGATAATGAGCGAATGTATACGCGCGGGATGCAATGGAAATCGCCAAAAGTATTTATATTTCGGCAGCAGAAAATGTGTGCCTCGAGTCCCGATGGAGAAGGATTTCGGCTTTCTTTTAAAACTGACACCCCCTCCGTCGTATGGTTATGCTTCGATTCACGAGACGAATGGTTTGTTTAGTATTAGTCGATTTTCGGAGTTAGTCGAAAACTTATAGAGTCAACAGTAAAACGGACCCAAAACATACACAAATAACATGACGAACACAGTCGGAGTTGGGGTTTCTCTTAATAAGGATCGAAGCTGCGAGCAGCACAGCCTCGCGCAAGGTATATATAATAGAGGTGTATATAGCCAATGTTTTCAGCTTGGGATTCTCACTGCAGCTACTTTGAGAGCCGTAAAGAGCGAGAGAGAGAATAAAAAAAAAAGGAGAGAAAAAGAAAAAAGGAAGGAGCGCGAGAGGTAGAGCTCGCGCGTGAGGCAGTCGAGAGAGTAGGAGCCTGGGCTCGCGCGAGCTTATACAGCATATTATATTATACGTTGCGTCGAGCTCTCTCTCGTGTATGTGTGTGTAGCTGCTGGCGTAGCTCTGCCTCAGACACGGTACGGTTACGGTTGCCTATCTGTGGGGGCAAGGACGGCCGAGGTCGCTCGCTTCCCTCTCGCTCGCTTTCGTTCGCGATCGAGAGAGAGCCGAGCCGAGTCGAGGCAGGCACGGCGCTGTATATATACTGCGCAGACATATTATATACCTGCTGCTGCTGCAGGCCTCGCTTGTTTGCTTGCGGAGAGGCCGTCGCTCTTTCGTACGTGTGTAATAATATATCTATATGTGTGTATACGAGAAACGAGACCTATAGGTATAGGATACACATACACATACACACTTATGTACGCGTGCACTGCAGTATAGACGCTGCAGTACTTATACGAGTTACGGACTGCAATACTTGCGGGCGCGCGCGCGCGCGGAGGAGATTCGAGCCGAGACGAGTTTTCTGCTCGAGCAGCGCGGAGCAACGCGAGTGCCTTGCCTTGCCTTGCCTGCCTGCCTACCTGTCCCATAGAACGGAGCCTTGTGCGCTGTTGTATTACTCGGCGGCCCTGCACCGAGGACTCAAGAGAGAAAGAGAGAGAGCTGGTACGTTATGTCCTGTGGGAGCAGGAAGTGTGCGTGTGTGTGTGTATAGGCACACGAGCACACTGCAGCTCTCGTAGCTGCTGCTGCTGCTGCGCTGAGTTATTTGCGAGAGAGCTCATCGACCCTCTTTTTCTTCATTTATATACACACGTGCAATATAGTATATATAATACGCAATATATATATAGCATGTACGCACATACAGTGCACCGTATACTATCTCATAAATAGTTCAATGTTTCTTCTCTTCCCTCCCGAAAAAAAATTGCGAGCTTTATACTTCTTATACCTAGAAGCTTCGCTCAACGCCAGTGCGATGCGACCAATTAGATATACCGCGAGCGACTGTGTTATATCGTAGCGTACATACAAGAGCCTCTATAAGAGACTCAGGAAGACCTTTTCTCGCGCCCATATGTGCACACACACACATGAACATAGAAAAAGAGAGAGAGAGGACGCGCTGCACTTCTCGCTCGTGTAATAATACACGCTATCCGCGCGCGCCGTGTTATAATAATGCAAGCGTGCTGCAGTTAAGCACAAGTGTGGGTGGTAACCAAGAGCAAGAGCTTCGCTTCTATATAGAGACCGAGAGAGAGAGAGAGAGAGAGGAAGAGAGATAGGATTGATAAATAAGAATGCAACAGCGTGCAACCTCGACCCTGTACTCGCAGCAAGGTTGCCGCGCCTGCCATATTATAATGTGCGAGCTGCATCCGAGCGAGCGAGCGAGCGAGAGAGAAAGACGACTACATACACGCACGTATATGGGTGGACATGCGACGACGAAGCCACGACCGACGACGACCGTGGCTCGCAACTCATGGGAAGGACGATGTCAAGGCGATTATACCCTCCAGCTGTCTATTTACCTTTATGAAATATACGGCCAGGCGAGAGAACGCGATGTCGAGTTTCCGTCGCGCGCGCGCCCACACAGTAT